AAGAACACTGCAGGTCTACTGGTCCATACAAGGCAGGTCCTTATCAAAATGACCTCTACCCAAAGCTACCCAAGAATTAACTCCCGTACCCAATGACAAATCAAAAAGGATTTCAACTGTTGATCCCACAACCTGGCTGCTAGAACTCTCTTTAAGAATTTTGGTGGTGGCTGCCACAACCTGGCCAGTACGACTGAGTACTGAGTACGTTGAGTAATTCGTGGAAGCATTTGTTTACGTTAGTTTAGTGGTGAGTGTGTGGGAGGAGCAGGTGTGTGGCGCCAGTCTCCGGAACGTGTGGGAGGAGCAGGTGTGTGGCGCCAGTCTCCGGAACGTGTGGGAGGAGCAGGTGTGTGGCGCCAGTCTCCGGAACGTGTGGGAGGAGCAGGTGTGTGGCGCCAGTCTCCGAAACGTGTGGGAGGAGCAGGTGTGTGGCGCCAGTCTCCGGAACGTGTGGGAGGAGCAGGTGTGTGGCGCCAGTCTCCGGAAACGTGTGGGAGGAGCAGGTGTGTGGCGCCAGTCTCCGGAACGTGTGGGAGGAGCAGGTGTGTGGCGCCAGTCTCCGGAACGTGTGGGAGGAGCAGGTGTGTGGCGCCAGTCTCCGGAACTATCTTGTCTTCAATACTTAATTATAGCAGTGGTGGTGGTGGTGGGGATGTACGTGTTGTCCAGGTCCTGACACTGTTGTGATTGATGTGATTTATCCATACCACCCTCAAGTCCTAGCAGTGATGGGATCCACGTAACTAGTTTACCTCCCTTAGATCCTAGCACTAGTGGGATCCACGTAACTAGTTTACCTCCCTTAGATCCTAGCACTAGTGGGATCCACGTAACTAGTTTACCTCCCTTAGATCCTAGCACTAGTGGGATCCACGTAACTAGTTTACCTCCCTTAGATCCTAGCACTAGTGGGATCCACGTAACTAGTTTACCTCTCTTAGATCCTAACACTAGTGGGATCCACGTAACTAGTTTACCTCCCTTAGATCCTAGCACTAGTGGGATCCACGTAACTAGTTTACCTCCCTTAGATCCTAGCACTAGTGGGATCCACGTAACTAGTTTATCTCTCTTAGATCCTAGCACTAGTGGGATCCACGTAACTAGTTTACCTCTCTTAGATCCTAGCACTAGTGGGATCCACGTAAACTAGTTTACCTCCCTTAGATCCTAGCACTAGTGGGATCCACGTAACTAGTTTACCTCCCTTAGATCCTAGCACTAGTGGGATCCACCTAACTAGTTTACCTTCCTTAGATCCTAGCACTAGTGGGATCCACGTAACTAGTTTACCTCCCTTAGATCCTAGCACTAGTGGGATCCATGTAACTAGTTTACCTCCCTTAGATCCTAGCACTAGTGGGATCCACGTAACTAGTTTACCTCCCTTAGATCCTAGCACTAGTGGGATCCACGTAACTAGTTTACCTCCCTTAGATCCTAGCACTAGTGGGATCCACGTAACTAGTTTACCTCCCTTAGATCCTAGCACTAGTGGGATCCACGTAACTAGTTTACCTCCTTTGATCCTAGCACTAGTGGGATCCACGTAACTAGTTTACCTCTCTTAGATCCTAGCACTAGTGGGATCCACGTAACTAGTTTACCTCTCTTAGATCCTAGCACTAGTGGGATCCACGTAACTAGTTTACCTCCCTTAGATCCTAGCACTAGTGGGATCCACGTAACTAGTTTACCTCCCTTAGATCCTAGCACTAGTGGGATCCACGTAACTAGTTTACCTCTCTTAGATCCTAGCACTAGTGGGATCCACGTAACTAGTTTACCTCCCTTAGATCCTAGCACTAGTGGGATCCACTGTAACTAGTTTACCTCCCTTAGATCCTAGCACTAGTGGGATCCACGTAACTAGTTTACCTCTCTTAGATCCTAGCACTAGTGGGATCCACGTAACTAGTTTACCTCCCTTAGATCCTAGCACTAGTGGGATCCACGTAAACTAGTTTACTCTCTTAGATCCTAGCACTAGTGGGATCCACGTAACTAGTTTACCTCCCTTAGATCCTAGCACTAGTGGGATCCACGTAACTAGTTTACCTCCCTTAGATCCTAGCACTAGTGGGATCCACGTAACTAGTTTACCTCCTTAGATCCTAGCATAGTGGGATCACACGTAACTAGTTTACCTCCCTTAGATCCTAGCACTAGTGGGATCCACGTAACTAGTTTACCTCTCTTAGATCCTAGCACTAGTGACACTGGCACGATCCATATGACTCAGTTTTCCTTCCTCAGGATGCAGCATCTCGCCATAAATATTGCCACACTGACGAGTTGAAAACTTCTGGCAGTACCATGCTCCAGTACTATGTTCCAGTACCGTGTTCCAGCACCATGTTCCAGTACCATGCTCCAGTACCATGTTCCAGTACCGTGTTCCAGTACCATGTTCCAGTACCATGCTCCAGTACTATGTTCCAGTACTATGTTCCAGTACCGTGTTCCAGCACCATGTTCCAGTACCGTGTTCCAGCACCATGTTCCAGTACCGTGTTCCAGCACCATGTTCCAGTACCATGCTCCAGTACTATGTTCCAGTACTATGTTCCAGTACCGTGTTCCAGCACCATGTTCCAGTACCATGCTCCAGTACCATGTTCCAGTACCGTGTTCCAGCACTATGTTCTAGTACCATGCTCCAGTACCATGTTCCAGTACCGTGTTCCAGCACCATGTTCAGTACCATGCCAGTACCATGTTCCAGTACCGTGTTCCAGCATATGTTCTAGTACCATGTCCAGTAAAATGTTCCAGTACCATGCTCCAGTACCATGTTCCAGTACCGTGTTCCAGTACCATGCTCCAGTACCATGTTCCAGTACCGTGTTCCAGCACCATGTTCCAGTACCATGCTCCAGTACCATGTTCCAGTACCGTGTTCCAGCACTATGTTCCAGTACCATGCTCCAGTACCATGTTCCAGTACCGTGTTCCAGCACTATGTTCTAGTACCATGCTCCAGTACCATGTTCCAGTACCATGCTCCAGTACCATGTTCCAGTACCGTGTTCCAGTACCATGCTCCAGTACCATGCTCCAGTACCATGTTCCAGTACCGTGTTCCAGTACCATGCTCCAGTACCATGCTCCAGTACCATGTTCCAGTACCGTGTTCCAGTACCATGCTCCAGTACCATGCTCCAGTGCCATGTTCCAGTACCGTGTTCCAGTACCATGTTCCAGTACCATGCTCCAGTGCCATGTTCCAGTACCGTGTTCCAGTACCATGTTCCAGTACCATGCTCCAGTAAACCTATAAACTGGCCACTACACCACAGTAAACCCACAAACTGACTACTACACCACAGTAAACCCACAAACTGACTACTACACCACAGTAAACCCACAAACTGACTACTACACCACAGTAAACCCACGAACTGACCACTACACCACAGTAAACCCACAAACTGACTACTACACCACAGTAAACCCACGAACTGACCACTACACCACAGTAAACCCACAAACTGACCACTACACCACAGTAAAACCCCCAAACTGACTACTCACCCCAGTAAAAACCCCCAAACTGACCCACTACACCAAAAGTAAACCCACAAACTGACTACTACACCACAGTAAACCCACAAACTGACTACTACACCACAGTAAACCACAAATGACCACTACACCACAAATAAACCCACAAACTGACTACTACACCACAGTAAAAACCCCCAAAACTGACTACTACACCACAGTAAACCCCCAAACTGACTACTACACCACAGTAAACCCACAAACTGACTACTACACCACAGTAAACCCACAAACTGACTACTACACCACAGTAAACCCACAAACTGACTACTACACCACAGTAAACCCACAAACTGACTACTACACCACAGTAAACCCACAAACTGACCACTACACCACAGTAAACCCACAAACTGACTACTACACCACATTTAAAACCCAAAACTGACCACTACACCACAGTAAACCCACAAACTGAAAACTAACCACAGTAAACCCACAAACTGACTACTACACCACAGTAAACCCACAAACTGACAACTACACCACAGTAACCCACAAACTGACTACTACACCACAGTAAACCCACAAACTGACTACTACACCACAGTAAACCCACAAAAATGACTACTACACCACAGTAAACCCACAAAAATGACTACTACACCACAGTAAACCCACAAAAATGACTACTACACCACAGTAAACCCACAAACTTGCCACTACACCACAGTAAAACCCCCAAACTGACTACTACAAACCCCAGTAAACCCACAAACTGGCCACTAACCACAGTAAACCCACAAACTGACTACTACACCACAGTAAACCCACAAACTGACTACTACACCACAGTAAACCCCCAAACTGACTACTACACCACAGTAAACCACCAAACTGACTACTTACACCACAGTAAACCCACAAACTGATACTACACCACAGTAAACCCACAAAATGACTACTACACCACAGTAAACCCACAAACTGACAACTACACCACAGTAAACCCAAAACTGACTACTACACCACAGTAAACCCACAAACTGACTACTACACCACAGTAAACCCACAAAATGGCCACTACACCACAGTAACCCACAAAAATGACTACTACACCACAGTAAACCCACAAACTGACTACTACACCACAGTAAACCCACAAACTGACTACTACACCACAGAAAACCCAAACTGACTACTACCCCCACAGTAAACCACAAACTGACCATTACACAAAGTAAAAACCCCCAAAAATGACCACTACACCACGTTAAACCCACAAACTGACTACTACACCACAGTAAACCCACAAACTGACTACTACACCACAGTAAACCCACAAACTGGCCACTACACCACAGTAAACCTATAAACTGGCCACTACACCACAGTAAACCCACAAACTGGCCACTACACCACAGTAAACCCACAAACTGACCACTACACCACAGTAAACCCACACAGTGAGATGGGTGGCCTCACAACATTACCTCTCACAAGATGAACCTCTGGAGGTAGAGGAGGCCAGGCTCGTCTCTGGAGGTAGAGGAGGCCAGGCTCGTCTCTGGATGTAGAGGAGGCCAGGCTCGTCTCTGGAGGTAGAGGAGGCCAGGCTCGTCTCTGGAGGTAGAGGAGGCCAGGCTCGTCTCTGGAGGTAGAGGAGGCCAGGCTCGTCTCTCTGAAATGAAACACAGAAACCCACTGATAATGATAATTATAATGATAATCACAGACACTGATAATGGTAATCATAATTAAGTATTATTATTACTTGGTAATAATTAGAGAGAACAAGGTATCCCTGGTCTCTCTCTCTCTCTCTCTCCCTCTCTCTCTCTCTCTCTCTCTCTCTCTCTCTCTCTCTCTCTCTCTCTCTCTCTCTCTCTCTCTCTCTCTCTATCTATCTATATATCTTACTTTAGAGATTTTAACATATCATTGTATCTTCACATAAAGAATATTTTAAATTTAAAACAACGTAGAGAGAGTTCAAGAATGCGTCAGCACGTTGTACATGACGTGCGTCACAGTAATGATGGAGGAGCGTCAGAGCAGTGATGGAGTGCGTCAGAGTAGTGATGGAGATGGGTCATAGTGACGGAGGTGCGTCATAGTGATGAAGGTGCGTCACAGTGATGAAGGTGCGTCATAGTGATGGAAGTGCGTCATAGTGATGGAAGTGCGTCAGAGCAGTGACAGTGTGCGCAGCACCACCTCACAGTCTCCCACCTGACATAACATCCTCAAAGACCAGAAAAGGTCAAGAGGTTTGCAACCAGACTAGTCCCGGACCTGTGGGTGGAGTGCCCTATCAGAGACAAAGAAAAAGACTAACGACCTTGGAAGAAAGAATGACCAGGAGAGATATGATAAGGACGTATAAGATAGGGGAAGAAGAGGGCGAATAAGGAGGGACTGAAACACAAGAATCAGGGACTGAAACACTAGAACCAGGGACTGAAACACAAGAACCAGGCACTGAAACACAAGAACCAGGGACTGAAACACAAGAATCAGGGACTGAAACACTAGAACCAGGGACTGAAACACAAGAACCAGGGACTGAAACACTAGAACCAGGGACTGAAACACAAGAATCAGGGACTGAAACACTAGAACCAGGGACTGAAACACAAGAATCAGGGACTGAAACACTAGAACCAGGGACTGAAACACAAGAACCAGGGACTGAAACACTAGAACCAGGGACTGAAACACTAGAACCAGGGACTGAAACACTAGAACCAGGGACTGAAACACAAGAACCAGGGACTGAAACACAAGAACCAGGGACTGAAACACAAGAACCAGGGACTGAAACACAAGAACCAGGGACTGAAACACAAGAACCAGGGACTGAAACACAAGAACCAGGGACTGAAATCCCCTCTCATCATGTACAAGATAATCCCCTCTCACAATTTGCAGCCTGGGCACTTTCACTCCCTGCCCACCTCCCATCCTACCCTCCCTGCCCACCTCCCATCCTACCCTCCCTGCCCACCTCCCTTCCTACCCTCCCTGCCCACCTCCCTTCCTACCCTCCCTGCCCACCTCCCATCCTACCCTCCCTGCCCACCTCCCTTCCTACCCTCCCTGCCCACCTCCCTTCCTACCCTCCCTGCCCACCTCCCATCCTACCCTCCTGCCCACCTCCCTTCCTACCCTCCCTGCCCACCTCCCTTCCTACCCTCCCTGCCCACCTCCCTTCCTACCCTCCCTGCCCACCTCCCTTCCTACCCTCCCTGCCCACTTTCATTCCTACCATCCCTGCCACCTCCCTACCCTCCCTGCCCACCTCCCATACTACCCTCCCTGCCCACCTCCCTACCCTCCCTGCCCACCTCCCTTCCTACCCTCCCTGCCCACCTTCCTACCATCCCTGCCCACCTCCCTTCCTACCCTCCCTGCCCACCTTCCTTCCTACCATCCCTGCCCACCTCCCTTCCTACCCTCCCTGTCCACCTCCGTTCCTACGTCCCTACCAACCTCCGTTCCTACCCTCCCTGCCCACCTCCCTTCCTGCCCTCCCTGCCCACCTCCCTTCCTATCCTCCCTGCCCACCTCCCTTCCTAACGTCCCTGCCCATCTCCCTTCCGACCGTCCCTGCCCGCTTCCATTCCTACCGTCCCTACCGACCTCCCTACCCTCCGTGCCCACCTCCCTTCCTACCGTCCCTGCCCACCTCCCTTCCTACCCTCCCTGCCCACCTCGCTTCCTACCCTCCCTGCCACCATCCTTCCTACCCTCCCTGCCCACCTCGCTTCCTACCCTCCTGCCCACTTCCCTTCCTACCCACCTCCCTTCCTACCCTCCCTGCCCACCTCCCATCCTATCCTCCCTGCCCACCTCCCTTCCTACCCTCCCTGCCCACCTCCCATCCCCCTCCCTGTCCACCTCCCTTCCTACCCTCCCTTCCCACCTTCCCACCCACTTCCAACCTTCCTTCCCACCTACCCTCCCCGCAAATCCTCCCTACCCACTTCCAATGTACCAACCCTACCCACCTCCCCATGTACCAACTCTACCCACCTCCCCATGTACCAACCCTACCCACCTCCCCATGTACCAACCCTACCCACCTCCCATGTACCAACACTACCCACCTCCCCATGTACCAACCCTACCTACCTCCCCATGTACCAACCCTACCCACCTCCCCATGTACCAACTCTACCCACCTCCCCATGTACCAACCCTACCCACCTCCCCATGTACCAACTCTAACCACCTCCCCATGTACCAACACTACCCACCTCCCCATGTACCAACTCTACCCACCTCCCCATGTACCAACTCTACCCACCTCCCCATGTACCAACCCTACCCACCTCCCATGTACCAACCCTACCCACCTCCCCATGTACCAACTCTACCCACCTCCCCATGTACCAACCCTACCCACCTCCACATGTACCAACACTACCCACCTTCCCATTGTACCAACCCTACCCACCTCCCCATGTACCAACCCTACCCACCTCCCCATGTACCAACTCTACCCACCTCCCCATGTACCAACCCTACCCACCTCCACATGTACCAACACTACCCACCTTCCATGTACCAACCCTACCCACCTCCCCGTGTACCAACTCTACCCACCCCCCCATGTACCAACTCTACCCACCTCCCCATGTACCAACCCTACCCACCTCCCCATGTACCAACCCTACCCACCTCCCCATGTACCAACTCTACCACCTCCCCATGTACCAACCTACCCACCTCCCCATGTACCAACTCTAGCCACCTCCCCATGTACCAACTCTACCCACCTCCCCATGTACCAACTCTACCCACCTCCCCATGTACCAACTCTACCCACCTCTCCATGTACCAACTCTCCCCACCTCTCCATGTACCAAACCCTACCCACCTCCCCATGTACCAACTCTCCCCACCTCCCCATGTACCAACTCTACCCACCTCCCCATGTACCAACTCTCCCCACCTCTCCATGTACCAACCCTACCCACCTCCCCATGTACCAACTCTCCCCACCTCCCATGTACCAACTCTACCCACCTCCCCATGTACCAACTCTCCCCACCTCCCCATGTACCAACCCTACCCACCTCCCCATGTACCAACCCTACCCACCTCCCCATGTACCAACTCTACCCACCTCCCCATGTACCAACTCTACCACCTCCCTATGTACCAACTCTACCCACCTCCCCATGTACCAACCCTACCCACCTCCCATGTACCAACTCTACCCACCTCCCCATGTACCAACTCTACCCACCTCCCCATGTACCAACTCTCCCCACCTCCCCATGTACCAACTCTACCCACCTCCCCATGTACCAACTCTACCCACCTCCCCATGTACCAACTCTACCCACCTCCCCATGTACCAACTCTACCCACCTCCCCATGTACCAACTCTACCACCTCCCCATGTACCAACCCTACCCATCTCCCCATGTACCAACTCTACCCACCTCCCCATGTACCAACTCTACCCCCCTACCCATGTACCAACTCTACCACCTCCCATGTACCAACTCTACCCACCTCCCCATGTACCAACCCTACCCATCTCCCCATGTACCAACTCTACCCACCTCCCCATGTACCAACTCTACCCACCTCCCATGTACCAACTCTACCCACCTCCCATGTACCAACTCTCCCCACCTCCCCATGTACCAACTCTACCCACCTCCCCATGTACAAACTCTACCCACCTCCCCATGTACCAACTCTACCCACCTCCCCATGTACCAACTCTACCCACCTCCCCATGTACCAACTCTACCCACCTCCCCATGTACCAACTCTCCCCACCTCCCATGTACCAACTCTACCCACCTCCCCATGTACAAACTCTACCCACCTCCCCATGTACCAACTCTACCCACCTCCCCATGTACCAACCCTACCCATCTCCCATGTACCAACTCTACCACCTCCCCATGTACCAACTCTACCCACCTCCCCATGTACCAACTCTACCCACCTCCCCATGTACCAACTCTCCCCACCTCCCCATGTACCAACTCTACCCACCTCCCCATGTACAAACTCTACCCACCTCCCCATGTACCAACTCTCCCCACCTCCCCATGTACCAACTCTACCCACCTCCCCATGTACCAACTCTACCACCTCCCATGTACCAACTCTCCCCACCTCCCCATGTACCAACTCTACCCACCTCCCCATGTACCAACTCTACCCACCTCCCCATGTACCAACTCTCCCCACCTCCCTATGTACCAACTCTACCCACCTCCCCATGTACCAACCCTACCACCTCCCCATGTACCAACTCTACCCACCTCCCCATGTACCAACTCTACCCACCTCCCCATGTACCAACTCTCCCCACCTCCCCATGTACCAACTCTACCCACCTCCCCATGTACCAACTCTCCCCACCTCCCATGTACCAACTCTCCCACCTCCCATGTACCAACTCTACCCACCTCCCCATGTACCAACTCTACCCACCTCCCCATGTACCAACCCTACCCACCTCCCCATGTACCAACCCTACCCAGCAGTAATACCACCTTGTCATGGCAGGTGGGAGAGAGAACCTTAATGATGTGTGCAGGTATGCTAATGAGCTTAATCACGACACTGAAGATACCACTCGATTACAGGCGAAAAGTTTTTTTTTTAATAACCCAGCACCGTGAGAAACCTGGGTAATAAATTCTGATC